CCTTTAGTGCTCAGCTAGTAAGTATTAGCTTCATTCGTGTACGGGTGGAAGTAATTGCTAGGGGATGATCATTTCAACCTCCACTAATAAAGACCTAAGTCCCAGAGGATAAGTGGTCGGAGTATCGCGCTTCTTCTAGCAAAAATCTTTATTGCCTAGAGTCAAGGGAAGAAGAAAATTAATGTTATTAATATAAATATAAAAAGTTACATTTGTATTCATAATAATATTTATTTATATTAATATGATAACAATGTTTTTTTGCTTCATAGACCTATAAATTGCAATTATATATATTTTGATCATAATGCCATTTTTATTTCCTTCACAAAACTTTTTTTTTTTTTCTTACGCCTGTTAACTTCGACTTTTTCGTCATGAGTCATCTTTAGCAGATTTTGGGGATATTGTAGACGACAGTAGTGATTGGTTGGCTCTCACTTCTTCGAGATATCCAGGGTCAAAAAAATATCACTTTTTTTAAGATAATTAATTTTTGTTTTTCCACGTTCTGGCATGTATTTTAATAAACCCAATCACCTAACATGCATTTTATTTATTAAAAAAAATATCGACTTTTCAAATATTATTCGGATAAATTAGTTATAAATTGTATTTTTCACGCAGATCTCTGTTGTAGGAAGTTTTCCATATTTGTGAGTGACAAAATAAAAGTTTCTAGTCCGAAATTTAACGTGTAAATAAAAAAAAAAATGCTAATTGCTTTAATTTTTTTAAATCAAACGTTAATGTTAGGATCAGGAACTTTTAGTTTGTCACTTAATGTAATACAGGTCAATTCCTACATTGGAGATATGAGTGAAAAACACAGTTTATAACAGCTTTACAGGAAAAAGAATTCTATAAATATAATGATTGCGTTTTATTGGTGTGAGATTTATAAAAAAAACTCTCCCGTCATTGGAAAAAACAATACTGAATAAAAATAAACAAGAACAACGATACTTAAAATCCTCTTTAAATAGTCTTAACAATGATAAAATCTACGATCATTTGAATTCAATTTTATCTTGTTTAAAATGAAGCAATTATTAATTACTTAAAGTAAATATTTTTTTAAATAATTGGTAATTGGTTGACTGTCGTGGATAATGAAGAGAAGAATAGTTGGGGTGCTCAGTCAAAAAAGGAAGGCAAAAAATAAATTATAATATTTATTTTTTACATATGCCGACGTTTCGACCTGAAGTTCAGGCCTTCATCAGGGCTAAGAAAATAACCAGATAACAAGGTATGAGAAACATAAGTAATGATGGTAAAAAAGATAATAAAAAAAAATGAGAAAATAAAATAGATTAGATCTAGATAAAATAGATCTAGATAAAATATTAGAAAAATAAAATAGATAGATATAAAGTAAAATGAAATTGTTAGAATAATGACTAAGAACTAAGAGATAAATAATAAAGACTGTTACATAGTGTGGAATGATGAAGTAGGCATAATCAAAAAGGGGGTGACAAAAGTGTTACATTGGCAATCTTAGAATAAAATGTAAAAACATAAAAAATAAATATAAAGTTAGATAATATAAATATATAAGAAATGAAAATAAAATAAATAGTAAAATTAAAAACATTGAGAATGGAGTAGTTAGATAGAAAATTGAGATATTGTAAAGTCAATTTCAATTTTCTTGGCGTCGGCATATGTAAAAAATAAATATTATAATTTATATTTTGCCTTCCTTTTTTGACTGAGCACCCCAACTATTCTTCTCTTCTTTTAATATTTTTTTAGTTATCGCTTTCGATTCAATAATGTTTTTTTTTTTTAACTTTCTTTATTGAATATTAATACATTCTGCCACATTGAAGGACATTAATATTAAGGCAACATGATTCATTCACACATTATGTACCTACAATTAATATCAATAATAAAGAAAAAGAAATATAAAAAAAATAAAATAAGTAAATTGGTATGCCTGTGTACAAAAAAAAAAAAAAAAAAAAAAAAATTAAATAATAGATAAAAGCTAGATGAAATTAAAGTAAATAAATCACATTCACACCTATGTACAATATTTGCATTCACCCAGAGGACTCTGAGGCATGCCTTACTCCCCGACGTGGAAGCCAAGGCAGGACTCCAGAAGATCCCAGGGATTTTCTCTCAGCCGCGTCACTGTTATTTGAAACCAGTGGAAACTGATGGAGGGCACTATAGCAACAGACGCTCATGTCTTGAGTGCAGAATCTGGCCATTGCCAGTACTCCAATATATACATATTTACAAAAGGTCGCGGGGCCACTGCCGTTTTAACCTCCGGGGAGGATTGTAGGGATGGCTGGAGGTAGATAGGGATTGTGCTACAAGATTTGGATGGTGAGTGAGTTTCTGGTGAAATTTGGAACAATTTTCTGGGATTAGGTCAATAACAAATGGGATATGAAAGTCATTATGGAGGGTTTTGTTGGATACATAGAAGGGAGCATCTACTATTGTTCGGAGGATGTTGGAAAGTTTTGCTGTCCCCCACAGTTCTATTCCGTAGGTCCAAATAGGTTTCAGGATTGTCTTGTAGATTAATAGTTTGTTGTCGACTGAAAGTTGAGATTTTCTATTCAATAGTCTATATTGTTGTCCGTATCGTCTGTTAAGTTGTTGTCTTTTAGGTCTGGTGTGTGGGTTCCATGCTAGTCTTTTGTCTAGAATAAAGCTAAGATACCGGACTGTGTCGGACAGAGGAAGTGGTATGGAGTTGAAGTAGACTGGTGGACAGGAATTGTGTCGAAGGGTAAAAGTAACATGATTGTTTTTGGATTCATTTACTTGGATTCGCCACTTATTACACCAGTCTTCAATAAGAGAGAGGTGACTTTGTAGGTTTAAGGATGCTGTTTCAGGATCTGGATTGGAAGATAAGATGGCTGTCATCAGTGAATGTCACCAGGATGAGAAGGAATATCAGGGGTAAACAGAATGTAGATGACGGGACCCAAGACGCTGCCTTGAGGAACTCCCGTCTTGATTGAATGACAGTTGGAGGATTCTGTACCATAGCGAACTTGAAAGGAGCGGTCAGAGAGGTAGGATCGGAGGATAAGATATAAGGAATGGGGTAGATGGGATTTGAGCTTGAAGAGCAGTCCGGCGTGCCATACCCGATCAAAAGCTTGCGCAATGTCCAGGATTGCCCCCGAACAATACTCTTTGCTTTCTAGGGCTGAGGATATGTGTCAATAAAAATAGGGGGAAAAAAGAGCACAAAACTTTGATTTTCTACTTTTCTGCTGAAAACTGGCCTAATGTTTATATGAACTTTTTTGTAACTCTTGAAATTTTCTATAACTCAAATAAACATTTCTCTCTTCTTACGGAACACTGTGTGAATATATATACAGTGTGTCCCGTAAGTGTAGGGAATTTTTTATATTAATTATAGCAGATCTCGAGAGCTTAATGTTTCTAGCCCTATTATTTACGTTATCATGAACATAATTAAAGCATTCAGTAGGTTTCTTTATTATAAATGTAAATTTTAGTAAGAAACATTAAGTTTGCCACTGATAAATGTATATCAATCCATAAGAAGGAAATCTGGAAGAAAAGCACAATTTGGTACACAATGGTCTTCTCCTATACAAACACGATAGTCCGCTTTAAATATTTTTATCAATGATAAACGTTACTTTAGTTTAAATTAAAATTTGTCTAGTATACTATGGAGCAATATTTAATTACTTAAATCAAATATTTTTTAAATTATCTCTACCTATTTGACAGAAAAGTTTTTTTTAAACGTGACCCGATAAAAAAACAAAACATGAATCTTATATTTGCTACTTTTCTGTTAAAAATTGGGTTATTGTTTATATAAACTTTTTTCTATATCTTAATGTCTACTATCATCATTTTAAGTATTTATCTCTACTTACGCCGCAATCTGTATAAGATAAATACTTCGGAAGAAAAAGAAAGGAGCTTACTACCTACATGAAATGATTATTGAAGTCAAATACAAAATTAAATCACTCGAATAATAATACTTTTAGGGATATTTTTTAAATATCTTTATATTGAACTTGATTACGTTTACTAATTGTATATGCATTATAATTGAAAAAAAGAAAAGCATGTTGTAATTATTTAGTTTAGATCACTAACAGTAACAAATATGGACTAATTAAAAAAACATCTTTTTTATTTTATTGCGTTCACCAGTACTATCAAATTTTATAGGAAAAGCGAAAAATCATATGTTCACAAATATACGTTTATTATTTATATAGAGTAAAAAGTGCATGACAATAGCGTACTTGAATATATAGGATATATATTCTTGGTTATGTACTTTAAGAGAAGAACAAATATTTAATTAAAATTAATTATTTAGTAATTTGACGAAACACGAATTAATTATCAACTTACGTTCTACGTCGAAATTAAGAATTCAATTTGTATTTATTAATAATCAAATGAACCTGTATAATAATAATAATGATACCTGAGGTTTGGAATACGAGCCTAAACTGTGCTATCCTAAGGAAAGGCTCCATGTATGAGAAAGTGTTGAAAGATTTGAGATGAAAATCCCTCGCACGATAACCGGAGCGATCTGAGATCAGAGTACCAACACATGGAGAAGAAAGACCAATAAAGAACTGCTTACAGAAACTGGTCAATCAATATCCCTTGATATGAAGGCATGGAGGTTAAGATGGGCGGGGCATGTTGGTCGGAGAAGCCTCTACGTAAAAATGAATGCTTCAATAGAAGGCAAAAGACCACGTGGAAGGGCTAAAAGCAGATGGATAGACAGAATCAACAAAGATTCAATAGAGCTGCGTGCAGATAAATGGAAAGAAATAGCCCAAGACAGGTAGAGATGGAGCAGGCTTGTTAAGATGGCAAAAGATCTACATGGTATGTGATGCCATAAGAAAAAAAAAATCAAACGGAAAACCTTGATCCAATCTCAATTGCTGCTCCATATATACTTGCTTTTATGAATAATGTAAATGAAATATGATGCTGTTCATGGTTATAAATAATTTATTTTATTATAAATCATTTATATTTTTTTTAACTATTGGTTTACCAGCAGTCCATTTTTTCGAACATTTCGCAGTTAGGATAAACTTCTTCAGATGCAGAAGTGTTAAAGCCATCTTCGTCATCTGCTACCTCGTCATCGGAGGACTTCGGAAATTTGGTTCTTTTGTTCGAACTTATCAGTTTCTTTTTTATAACTACTTCCTTTCCCATCACACTTTTTCTTGGGCGGTCAGAATTGCTTGTTGATCCGGAAGCCAGAGTTTTCATCACCGCTTCCAAGTTTCTCCTTCTCGTGTTTAATGCAACCTCTTCCATGTTCCTTTGGTGCTTAGTATCGTAGATGTGATCTTCTAAATCGCTACTGCTTAGGGTAATGTCACAATAACTGCAATAATATTTATCCACTATGTTAGCTTCAAGCTGCTCCTCAATTGGAGGCATCGAATAGCCATCCAATCTTTCATCTTCTTTTTCTAGCGATTCTTCGTACATTTCAACACTTTCACTATATGTGTAGTTTCTAATCATTTTTCCAATAATATTTTGAAAATAAAATCTTTTGTATAAATTACAAAAAACCATAAAATGAATCAAAATGTTTTTACATATGTTATACTACTAAAAACGCTTAAACAACTGTGACTATATTTCTTTAGAATTATTAAATTATTTATACAAACATGTATAAGAAAATAAATATCATGGTTGAATAATTACAAACGTTTTCATAGAGTAATAGCTTGATTTATAAAATAGTAATTTTCTATCTTGAAAGTTCACTTGAATATCCTTAGCTGTAATACTTTACAGTTAAAATGTTCTCTGCCGAGTGAAATTATTAAAAACGGTTCCACTACGCCTATCCGCAAAGACAGTTAACTTTAAGGAACTTGAAAATATTACGAGTTTGATAGTATGTGGCATAGGTAAAACAAAACAATTAACGAATCGCAGGAATTTTTGACTTTATAAGTGGAATTTTTATTTACAATATATGTTAAAATGGCATATTATCATATGGAATTATAATATAAATATAGGTTGATTATGAGAAGATGGGCTCATTAACTATGGGTTCATTCTAGATATCCTACAAGAGTATGATAATAAGATAATGGATCTACGTCTCCTGGCAACAGAGTGACTTCAAGAATGTAACTGCATGAGTGATTTGTCCAGAGGATCATGGAGGTAATATACCCAGGAATATTAGAAGAGATGAGGGAGATCAGAATATTGAAGAGGTCGGAAGAGAACTTCAAAGGAAGTTACCAATAATTAATAATTTTAATATGAGGTTTGTGGAAAAGGGCTGGAGTTATTATCAATTGGGAATAGATACTCTTACACTTTTTTATTGATATGAGGTCCGTGGAAAAGGGATCTTTTGTTGAAATGTGTTATTGTTCCTCTAAGTCTAGATAATGGGTCCAGTTGGTGCCTTTTAGATAACTGTGTCTAAGCTACAGACATAACCTTCCCCTTGGGGTTATGAGAATTATTCACCAATTGGCACAGTTAATAAACTCAATTATTTATAAAAGGTTTAAATAAATATTTTTATTATTTGTTACGGATTAGGTCCAATATTCCGTGACTCACGAATGAACTCGTAGATAGCGCCTACCAAGTTACCTGCAAGGTAACTCGTTGTTGGCAGCAAATTTGTTAATTTTCAGTTCTTCACATCTCAAGCATTAATAAAATTCTGGGGTGTCCACTCACACAATTTTTCTGGTTCCGATTTTCGACAAATTCCAAGCCACTGTAAAATTAAACAGTGTAGGAAATGTAATTAATGTGTTTCAAATTTGTATCTTGAATAATTTGCGAAAACTATAACTTTCGATTTTTTTTGTAGCATTAAAAATAAAGAAATAAATTGGATTTTCATACTGACTATACTTTAAACTAATACGTTAAAACATGAAAAATAGTTCGAAATTTTGATTTGATTGTCCAATAGCCAGTTGGGGAGTAATAAACAAGTAATTAGTAGTAATAGTAATGGGGAGTAGTAATAAATAATTTGTTGAAAATGACACATCTAAATTCTATTCCTTCTTTAGACTTTTCATTTTCTTATAAGAGTAGGAGTAGGAGAAGAAATATAAAAATTAAAGGAGTTTCCAGAACAAATAATTTTAAAATTATGACGTACATTTGCTAAAACGTAATAGGTCTGGTTTTGATGATTTTTTTTTTTTTTTTTTTGAGATTCTTTAGAATACTCGATTAACTTTCAAATGGTTCTACATGTAATCGACCATAAAATTTATAATTTAGAGTAATGTAAAAAAAAAGAACAAGATTTTCTTACGATAAGTAGCTAAAATTTGATAATAATATTGATTAATAAATATCGTTAACTTTTTCCTCCTTTTTAAAGGTCACATATCAAATATGTGAAAATTAAAAGGAGAATGAAAATCGTTAGAGCTGTTTTGGAGCTAGTTTACTGAATAAGATTCTTATCACTTGTTGCTCCAAGGACTCTTTTCGATTTTGATGATTTTTTTATTTATTTATATAAACTGTATCAAAAAACTATTGAATTTACAATATTAATAACACTAAAGCTCATCAATAGTGACTAAACAGAAAAACAAAATGTATTCATTTTTGCGTAATTATATAACGATTATTGACTTTTATCGTTCAAAATATGCCTCTGGCGTGCATAGCCCTTTTACCTTAAAATGCCCTTGGACCCCTTCGTCTGGTCTTTTCCTCTACCTTTCGCAGGTATCGCATCTCTAGAGCCTGGATCTGGCTCCTGTGTTTTGAAGTAAGTGGCCAGGACTCGAAGGAATACGTCAGTATAGGAAGGAATACTGATCTGTAGACCGTCATCTTCGTTTCCTCGGTCACCTCTTTTCGGTTCAGAAAGCCTTTCCTAACCGAGCCGAACATTCTTCCAGCAGCTCCTATTATCTGCCTTACCTCCTCGTCAATATATCCATTTTCGTTGAGTTAAGCACCCAAGTATTTAAAACTTTCCACCTGCTCTAAAATCTCACCGTCGACCCTCAATACCCTCATAACCCTGTGAGGTTTTCTTCCAATGCGCATGCATTTTGTCTTCTCAGGGTTAATTTCCATATTGATTTCTCTTAAACCTTCCTTTAGGATATTAATGTTGTTCTGGAGGTCACGGTCATTCTGGGCCAATATGACGAGGTCATCCGCAAACGCCAGCAGAGAGTATAGAGTAGGCTGCATATCTCTGTGACCCAACAAATTACAATTATATTATTACAAAAACGTTGAGGAAAGGAAAATAGTTACTCAGTTTTATAAACAAGGAGACAGTCTAATGTTTACTGTGAAAAAAATTAAAATTATCTGTCATTCGTTTTGTCAAATCTCCTTTATTAATTCTTTATTATCGAATAGATAAAATCATTTGAAATCATTTTAAAAAAAAAATACTTAGCGGATAGGATTGGTAAAAAATGTACAAAAAATAAATAAATAAATAAATAAAAAACATACTTTTCAGGAGACTTTATTGCGTGATATTATACAGGTGGTTCTTACAGTATATTACATCAGGATTTATTTCAATTGTACAACTGCAAAATCTATTGCTTAACGATTCGTAGAATTTTTATTGAAAAAAAAAATCATTCATTTCTAACTGAGTAATCTGCAGTTTTTTTAAATATTTGCTCCTGTTCAACAAATCCAAAATGATCCCAAGAACTCAACACAAAAAATTTACTTGATTTATTATTACCAGTTTTCATAAAGTTTTAGACTTATATCTTAATATTTTCTGGAAATAAACTAGTTTCATAAATATGTTTTAATTCATTTATTTAATCTTAAAACGATTGCTATATCCTTAAGGAGATTGACTAGATATTATATTTCATAAAAACCATGATATTGCTGCATTTTATTTAGGCTATTCATAGAATAATTTTGAAGTGTTCAAAGAATTATCACCACACTTTATATAAGTTGGACTTGATATTATTGATACTACATGGTTGAAGCAAATCTAACAATATGATTATCGAATTTCAGTGCAATAAGCCTTACTTATTTTAAATTATTCAAAAAGTTGAGGTACTTAAAGTATTTAATTTGAATTTTATATGTGAAAATTTAGACCTCACAATAGCCCTTCTAATACTATAAAATTGATTTTCATAGTAGTAGTATGATGGGTGACTGTAATGAATAATTTAAGAGAAGTTGTTTGAGGTGTTCAGTCAAAAATTAACAAATAAATTGTATTTATTTTTATGCTTGCCGTCGTTTGAACACGAAGTTCAGGCCTTCATCAGGGCTGGACTCACGAGAACTTCTTTGTCTTATGGAAACTTCTCCCTGATGAAGCTCTGAACTTTGGGCAGAAACGTCGTCACATATATAAAAAAATATAACTTATTTATTTTTTATTAGGAGTTTCCACTAATAGTGGGTTTCCTTAACCTAGAGTGCTTGGATTGTTTATTTCAATAATGGCCTATCTAAATTCAATTCTTATCTTAGACCATGAACCCATCATGAATTTCTCCACTTCGTTATCTTTCTTGGTCTTCCTCGTCTTCTTCTTTCCCTAGTTTTCCATAAGTGGACTTCATTATTTTTAATTTGTTCATTTTTTACTGAGCACCCCAACGAACTGTATTTTCCTGTGATTTTATATTTAAAAAATAATCAAAATATTGATCTCGGAAGCTGATTAGATTATGAAGTAATTCAGGACTGGACAAAAATGGTATTAGTTCTGTTGGAGGCTAAATGGTACGGACATTTGGGGGGAGCAGGGGAGAGATGTGGTACAACGGAAGTATGTTTAGCTCAACTCCATTTATCTTTTGCGGCAGACGCTTTACATCTTTTATTACATCCATTGTAATATATCAAGTACATTTTATTGTAATTGAAAATGTCATAAATGTATTAGTTTAACCCCATGTTGATGTTTTCAATCATTAAGGTCATAATTAGTCGGACTACAATTTGCTATTTTCACGGCTTGGCTAAATTGTTTCCTAAACCTATTTTTCATAAATTTTTTATTCTGAAGTTCTTTGTTGGTATTGAGAAATGGCAACATAATTTTATTCCAGAATCTATGAATAATGAAGGTGTTCAGAAATTATGCACGATAGTCTGGCATGAAGAAATACAAAAACAGTACTTGCCAATTAATTGTTAAAAGCGGTCGTAATTACAGAAAGAAGTAAGTTTTAGATACTTTTGAAAGTTTGAATTTGAATATGAAGCAGATGGTGGAAGTTTGAAGAAATTTGTGGACGAGCATTGGCGTATGGAGATAGGTCAAGAGTTCAAAAAGGAGGTAGCACAAATGATGAAGGGTATGCTGAAGGAAATGATATAGAAGGGGAAGAACGACTCTATAGTTACTGGTATTAAAAGATTGGCAAGAAGAACGTAGAGTAAGTTATAATATTTTACCACCCAGCATCAATCTGAGAAAGATATCCTTAAGATGATTTTTTCTAAATGACATTTTATAGGTGGCCCTAACATATATCTTAGGGATCTCTCGAAACAGATGTCTCAAAAATGTCTTGAATCGGATATCTAAATGACATTTTTTTCACGATGGGGATTGGTCGGCATGCTCGAAATAACCAGATAGTCATAATGTACCTTCATCACCTTAGCTCAGGTTTCATATAAAAATTGAGATGAAATAAATCTCATTTGAATGGAAAGAAAAGAAAATTGATATTTTATATGAGTAAGGATTGAAGAAGTTTGAAAGTAGGCAATATAGAAGAAATTGTCACTAATCGTTCTTGATAAGTGAGTACTTTTTAAGATTTTTATATTTATCTGGCATAACAAATTGAAGTTGAATTTTTTACAATGGCAAATCAATATTCGATATGGATTTGGATAAAATTCATAGTCACTGTTCATTATATAGCGTTATTTAATACAATTAGGAAAT